CATCCACCCATCCTTCCAGTCATGACTTCACACACAGAAAACAAGACATGGAGGTCCCTGCCCACCAGTCTCCCCCAGGTTTAGAAGCAGACACCAACAGATCAATTCAGAGGTGACAGAAAAGCCACAGCGGGATGGAGCCAGCAGAGTGCAGTCTGTGCCTGTGAGCAAGTGGAGGATGGAGTAAGGCTTCCTGTGAGCAAGTAGAAGAGCCAGCATGATGGTTCTGTCAGCCTCCCTGTCACCAGCTCTGGTTGTCTGCAATCTCGCCATCTCTGGCTCCCCTAACAATGCCCCTGTCCCCAGCGTCAGTGGTCTCTGGACTCTGCTGACTCCGTCCCACTGTGGCTGGTGAGCTGCTTAGCTGGTTACAGCAGGCTCTCCCCACCCATCCCTGTGCCTCAGTTCCAGCCATATCCCCTTACTCCTTCCTGTGGTTAGGATTATCTTCCATTGAAAAAGCAAATACAGTTATTATTCTCTGTTAAAGGACTTACAAAGAGCCAGGCCTAGTAATGCATACGTGTAACCCTAACACTCTGAGATGCTGAAGCAGGAGGATCTCAAGCGTTTGAACCCAGGCTGGGCACTGGGCAGTTTAGCAGCTTAGCAACACCTTGTTTCAAAATAAAAGATTTTTTTTTTTTTTTTGTCTTTTTGACACAGGTTCTCGCTGTGCGGTTCAGGCTGGCCCAGAGCTCACTTTGTAGCCCAGGCTGGTCTCAAAATCGCAACGATCCTCCTGTCTCAGCCTCCCAAGTGCTGGGATTATGGGCATGCACCACCCCGCCCTGCTTCAGAATAAAAAATTTTAAAAGGCCAAGCATATAGCTCAATGAGAAGGTTCTTTATGGAGTTGAGTCCACAGTATGACAAAAACAAACACCAAAGGACTTACAAATTTCTGCACTATACATAGAGTAATTCCAACATTTTTTTTTCCTTCTGTTTTTTCTGTTTTGGTTTTTATTATTTGAGACAGAGTCTCACTGTGCAGTTCAGGCTGACTTTGAACTCACTTTGTAGTCCAGGCTGGCCTCAAACTTGAGGTAATTCTCCTGCCTCAGCCTCCTTTTGGCTGGGATGGAAGGCATGCGCCCTCAAGCCCGGCCAGTCCAAACTTTCTGTCCTTGCTCTTCTAATGCTTCCACTTTGCCACCTGGCTCACCTGCTTTTCCATCTGCTACTCCCGCTGCCTCCTTCTCTCCAGTCTCCTGTCCTTTAAGCTCCTTCCTCAGTCTCCATGGGGAACATTCACATCTTCACTCACACCGTCTCCCCCGGAAACAACATTCTCTATCAAAACCAAGTCCTCCTCCATTTCCCATCCAGGAGCAGTGGCCTCTGGCACCCAGCTTCCTGCCTCCACCAGGCTTTGCCACCTGTGGGTTTGGATAATTTCCTTACTTCCTTTGTTCTCTCTTCTCCAGTGCTGAGGAAATCACAGGGTCCATCTCAGAGTGGCTGTGGTCAGAGAGTGGTGCTCACCACATGACCAGCAATGGCGCCTGTTAGCTGTGGAGCCTCGGTCGGCTTCCCAGGCCCCTGTGTTACTTGGGTTTATCCTACAGTGGGAGCCTGATTCGTACACCAGGTGTGTGTGGTTGAAACTCTAGAAGCCAAGAACCCGAGTGCACGTAAACAGCTTCCCTAGTGTGTTTGAAGCAATGCTTTGCATATCACAAAGCATCCAGTCGGTTTTTGTCAAAATACTTCCATCTGGTTTCCTTGCATGACGTAAACCTGACGAGGAACTTGACTCAGAGCGGACACCAGGCTGAGCACGTGAAACGGGTTCCCTGTGGCCCCTTCTTGCTCCCGTGAGGGGCACCTGAGTCGCCGGGCAGCTGGGGAGGAGGCTCCGGTGCCCGCTGTGGCTTCTCAGCCTCTGGAAGGTGACGGACCCGTTAGGAATAATCCTGGAGTCCCGCCCGCCACCCCCTGCCTATCAGCGGCGGCAAGCATTCATCGCGGCCCAGAGTATCCCGACTGACAAGGGAGTGTGTTTTTCAGAAATCAGACGCCGTGGCTCCAAGGACCCGTTGGTGAAGGCCCTGCAGCTGCTGGATGGGCCCTGCGAGCCCGGGGAGAACGGTGGTGGTGGCAGTGGCGGTGGCAGCAGCAAGCCGGAGCCGGTGGCCAAGAGGCAGGGCTCCAAGGACCTGCTGGGGAAGGCACCTCAGCTCTATGACACCCCTTATGAGCCCAGCCTCGAGGGGAAGCCACGGCCCGCAGACAGCCGGCTGCCGGAGGACGACGAGAGGCCCGCGGCCGAGTACGAACAGCCCTGGGAGTGGAAGAAGGAGCAGCTGGTACGGGCGCTGTCAGGTGAGCACTGCGGCCAGGACGCCCTCTCCCCACACTAAGTCTGCTTTAAGTGGACACATAACCGTGCACACTTGCCGGGGTAGGGGTGCTATTCCCATGTGTGTATGCATTGTGTAGTGATCAGTCAGAATAATCAACATATCCGACAGCTCACTTCCTACCGCTCATGCAATCTAAAAACCTTGATCTTTCTCCGCATGGCAAATGAACAGCTTTTCTGCGAGATGATAAAATGGCTAGGTATGGTGGTGCACATATGGTGCTCGGGAGGCTGAGGCAGTTTGAGTTGCAGGCCAGCCTGAGCTACATAGTGAGTTCAAGGCCGGCCTGAACTACACAGTGAGACCCTGTCTCAAAAAGCCATAAAACGGGCCAAGGATGTAGCTCAGCAGCACAGCATCTCCTTGGCAAGCTCAAGGTCCTGAGTTTGATTTCTGGTAGCAAAAAGAAAAAAAAAGAAAAAAACAATCATAAAACACAACCAACCAACAAAGAAACAGAAGAAAGAGAAAAAGAAAAGAAAACAAATTAATAAAATGAAAAATCAGCTGGGCGTGGTGGCACATGCCTGTAATCCCAGCACTCGGGAGGCTGAGACAGGAAGATGGTTGCGAGTTTGAGACCAACCTGGGCTACAAAGAGAGCTCACGGCCAGCCTGAACTGCATAGCGGGACCCTGTCTCAAAAAAGACCAAAAAAAATAAGAAAAACCAACTCAAAAACAGAAACCGCTGCGCAGTGCCATCAGGGTGCCTTGACATTAGGGTTGGATAGAGACAGGGACCCAAGGGCAGTACGTGGCATGGCAAAGAGAAATAGCAGGATCTGAACCCAGGCTTGTTGAGAAGAATTAAAATGACATGGAAACTGGCTGAGATGTTCTCTGTTATAGCTCGATACATTCTCCTCTATTCTCCATGTACACCAGCTCTGCTGCTCATGTGAACCTGAATTTACTGGTAGAAGGAAAAGATGTTCTTAAAACGTTAAATGAAGGGCAAAAGAAATAAGGTAGTCAGCCAAGTGAAAAACTGTGTTTTTTGCGGGGGGATGATTAACATCTATTGACACCCTAGTTAATCAGCTTTCTCCTAAGTTACATACACCAACCCTGGCCTGGGACCCAAACCTGCAGCCCTAGCTACTCGGGGGCTGAACTTGGGGAGCCCTTGAGCCTTGGAGTCCTGGGCAACTTGGTGGGACCCTCAGTCAAAAAAATAAAAATAAAAATAAACTCACACTTGAAGAACTGATTCCTTTAGGAAAAGTTTGTACATTTTTTGAGGCAGGGTTTCTATATATAGTTTGGGCTGATCTTGAGCTCACTGTGTAGCCAAGCTGGACTTGAACTCACTGTAATTCTCCTGCCTCAGCCTCCCAGAGCACTGGGATTACAAGTGTGTGCCACCATGCCTAGCCATTTTATCGTCTCACAAAAAAGCTGTTCATCTGTTTTTATACAATGATACACACTCTTGCAAGTGTGAATCATTAAACATAACTATATTTAGTCTTTATTCTAAAAATACTAAAGCTAAGACAGGCGTTAATTGACATATTAATTGACGTATACGTCTGTAATCACAGAATTTGGGAGGCTGAGGCAGGAAGATCAACTGTGAGTTCAGGGCCAGCCTGAATGACATAGCAAGACTCTCAAAAACAAAACAAAACAAAAAGTAGTAATAAAATAAAAATATTTAAGCTAAGAGTTCTTCTAGAAGTCCACACTAGCCAGGCTTAGGGGCACATTCCTGTAATCCAGCCCTTGGGACACTGAGGCAAGAGGGTCACTGTGAGCTCAAGGCCAGCCTGGGCTACATAAGTGAGTTCAAGGGCCTGTTGTACTGCGGAGGTCGTTGTTTTCTCAGAAAACAGAGCAAAACAAAAGTCCATACTGAAGCAGGGCACAGTGACCTTCACCTGTAGCCCTACCTCCTTGGAAGTCCCAGGCAGGAGGATCACATGTTCAAGGCCAGCTGGGCAGCTTAATGAGACCCTGGCTCAACATAAAGATTAAAAAGGGCTGAGGGTGTAGCTTAGTGCAGAGGCCCTGGGTTCAATCCCCAGTACCGGGAAGAGGGCGCTCAGTGGTAGAGTTCTTGCCTGGCGTGTGTAAGGCCCTGTTCACTTCTCAGCAATGCAAAAACAAGGAGTCCATGCTGGAATATGCACGGTATACTCGTGAATTTAATTCATTCTGAGGTTCTGGAAAAGATGGTCACGTTCATGAGCATCACCCGATGCAGGGTTTGCAAACAAAACCAAATTTTGGCCAAATCTCCTCTTTGCCAACCGCACTGTATCACAACAGTTTCCTCCCGTACTCTGAGACTACGTGGGGCTGAGGGAGATCGTAAGGAAAAGCGGCTGCGTGTGGGACGCAGCGCAGGGCGCGGATAGCAAAGACCGCGGGAGCTCAGCCCGCCGAGGTATTGCGCAGCAGTTTGCAGCTCATGGGGAAGGGAAACACCAAGCCGAGGCAGGCAGGGAGGCTTTCCTTCCATGTTTCTGTGGATGCCTCCCGGGCCCCGGTGGTAAATGGAGTCCTCCTTCCAGTCCAGTTCGAAGGATCTGAGCGACCTTCGGCCAGGGAGGAGCCAGTGCGGCAGCACCACCGGCAGAAGAGCTGGACCCAGAAGATCCTAAAGCCAGCCCTGTCCGACCACACTGACGGGGAGAAGAAGGTGGACCCCAGCCTGGCCCTGGACAAGCAGCCGTGAGTCTCGTAGTCCTGGGCTGGGTGGAGTGAGGGGAAAGCGCACCAGCCCCAAGACCTCTCCCACAGAGCGGGACTTAGCAAACCACACCAGCCCGTAACTCACTCCCATGTGACTGACAGGTGGGACCCCTGGCTGCACTTTGTCTCTTCCGAGTGAGAAGCAGCATCTTCTGTTGAGCCTCCTACCACCTAAGAGATGTTTATTTCATATAACGCCTTAAGGGGTGACGCTGGTCTGGTTTGCATCTCGATGCTCACGGCGCTTCCTCCAACCCTGTCTTTCAGCTGGTATCACGGCGCCATTACCCGGGCCGAGGCCGAGAGTCGTCTGCAGCCCTGCAAGGAAGCTGGGTACCTGGTTCGAAATAGCGAGTCAGGGAACAGCAGGTACTCCATTGCACTCAAGTAAGTATTTCCGCCCCCTAGGGTCACTGCCTTCCCTGCCAGTTAAAATCGAGTTGGGCGTGGTGGGGCACGTCAGGAATCCCAGCACTTGGGAGGCTGAGGCAGCAGGATCATCGTGAGTTTGAGGCCAGCCTGGATTACATAGTTGAAGGCCACCCGGAGGTATAGAGCGAGACCCTGTCTCAAAAAACCAAAATTAATTAGTTAATAAATGAAACAGGTGCCATTTGAAGGCAGCTCACAGAGTTGTCTAGAAAATAAGGCGATTGGCTTGGACCGCAGAACGCGAAGCACTGTGGTCATGGTGCAGGATGGTGCTGTCGAAAAGCTCCCAAACCTGTTCCGACAACAAGGTTAGCATCTCATTAGCATGGTGCTTCTGTCAGCTTCTGCCTAGCATTGCTGGGTCTGCAGGAGAGCCTCTCAGTAGAGAAATGAGTCCTGGTAAAAAGAAACTTTCTCCCCGATGGTTCAGTTGCCGTCTTTTATACCCTCATACTAGGGAACTTAATAAATTGCATCCTTTGATTGTCAAGATGCCAACCGCCATTTCAGTCCCTGTCTCTTGTGGTGACGGAGGAAGCATCCCCTGCCTATTCCTCCTCCTGTCTAGTAGCACACGGAGAAGGCGCTCTTGCCCGGCAGGCTGGGCGGAGTGTGTATCATGGAAACTCTCCTCGCTCTGTGAGTTCAGCCGCACTGCATTGGAGGATCATTGTCAAGAGCCCTAACAGCATTTCCTTCCTGAGGAAGCTGAGCCCCTGCGCTGAAACAATCAGGCTGGAGGGGAAAAGCGGGTGGGGGGCGACGTGGCGCAGAGAATGGGACAGGCCACAGATACACAATACCAGGAATAGCTCGACTGTGTTCCTGAAATTGGGGTTTGTGGATTAGATCTGTGAGCCTTCGGGGCCAGCTGTCATTATATACAACCAGGAATGGTCTTTCCACATGGGGGGGGGGGACAGTTACTATTACTATTATTGTGTTCTTTTTGGAAAAAAAACAGAGAAAGAAATCTCACCTGTGTCTTTCTAGCAGTAGTGAGGCGGGTGAGCTCCTTCACCTTAGCAGCCTCAGGCTTGGGCTTACACTAGTTTTGCAAATTGGGGGCCAGAAGGGACTTGGCTTTCTTTTTTGGGTCCCGTGCCTGATGATTCACACGCAATAAAGAAAAACAACTCAAAGGTGACTTGCGTGCAGGCTGCGGTGGGAGGCACACACGCCCTGCGCTGGAGTGCGGCCTGTGTTTCTGTCCTGTGGAGCAAGCCCAGAAGCGCAGAGGCCCCGCCCGCCCACCGCAAGCTGCCTGGGCCGCCGTGGGGCCCTTCACGGGGAGGGGTCCTTGGCTCCGTGTTCACGTTTCCTCCGCGGTGTTTGTTTTGCTCCAGGACAAGTCAAGGATGCGTCCACATCATAGTGGCTCAGACCAAAGACAGCAAGTACACACTGGACCAGACCAGCGCGGTGTTCGACAGCATCCCGGAAGTGGTGCACTATTACTCCAGTGAGAAGTTGCCTTTCAAGGGGGCAGAACACATGACCTTACTGTACCCTGTGCACAACAAGCTTCACTAAGGTTCGACCTCAAGAGCCCTGGGCTCCTGGCACCTAAGAGGGCGCGGACACAGCCAGCATCTCGGGATGAGATGGGCCGCTCCTCAGACCCAGGACAGAGCAGGGCCTTGCTTGGATTCAGCGAGCTGTGTTCTTGAGCCCTTCAGTGACCCTTGGTCTCTAGCTGTCCTTTTCTCTCCTTGCCAAGTAGCTGCACAGTAAGAAGCCATAATTTACTGTTGGTTCCTTCTCTGGAGTTGGAGGTTCTGTTTGGGCTGTTACCCTCGGCAAAGGTGAGTCTAGAGCTCAGGAGCATCGAAGCTCTCTAGCGTTATGCTGGGTGTTCCCCGGAGCGACTGCTTTCTACACAAGCACGAAAACCACTAGGCTTTAACACACGCCCACGTGGGCTGGCTGGGTGTCTGTTACACCCTTGTGGAGGGTCCATCCATAGGTTGTAGGAAGTTCTCTTCCTCCAGGGTCCTAACACAGTTCTAGTGTTCACGCCAAAGCACGACCTTGGGGTCGGGCACAAGGATTACTTTATTGGTCAGCTTTTCTAAGAAGTTTGCTTTGGGCGTGATGGTGCAAACCTGTAATCTCAGCACTTGGAAGGCTGAGGCAGGAGGATGCACATTCCAGGCCTGCAGGAGCTATAGTGAGGCCCTGTCTCAAAAAGCAAACAAAAAAACTTAGCATTTTCTCAACTCTATGGACTTTTTCAGCATTTTTGTGCACATCAGTAATATAAGCATAAATGAAAGGGAAGGTGCCCCATGTAGGAATCTGTGATGTAATTAAAAATGGACATTATTATAATTCTGAGTTATAAAATATACAAGAGTATATTTCTGATTTTTTTAAAAGTTCCAAAAATTTTGAAGCTTGGTAACCATTCTCTTACAGGATAATTATATAGAACTTTAGGTAGCTTTTATTTCATCTCTGTGCTTTTTAGTTGCCATAGAACCATCTTTAAGTCTTGTCTCTAAAGTTAGATTTGCTTTGTGTTTTTAGTAAACGTTTTAAAAACTTATGACTTTGGGGTCTGGCTGTATGGACTGGGTTCCTGGAGTCTGTAGGACTCTGTCTGCAGAGCGAGGCCGATTCACACTGTACAGACTACTTCAGAGGACTTCGGGGTTGTGCTAACTGCTGTCCTCCGATGTTAAGTTCATCGACATGTATGTTATCTTTCTGATCTGTTGTGCCATGTATCGTCAGTTTGTTACTGTGAAAAGCTCATGGGAACGGGGGCTGGGGCAAGAGCACTGGGGTCCGCACGGGCCAGTGTTTCCCTGCCGTGGGGTTTGTGACTTGGTCCTCAGAACTGGTCCAGATAAAGATGTGCTGATCGCCATCAGTGACAAGTGAACTTCCGTAGTTCTTTTCAAACACAAATCCCAGAAACTGATAATTTGAGTAATTTTCAGGAAAGCACGTCTTTCTAGTTTATAGTGATCGTTTGTTTGACTATTAGGATTTAGAGGTTAGTAAAATTTTTGTTTTTGATCAAGATGATCTTGGCCCCAAAGGGTGGTGTGATTGTCAGGAATAAAAAGTTGAAAGAAATATTTAAAAGCTGAGAGGAACTTATTCTAACCGGAGCTCAACTATTTTATTAATAAAAAAGGGCTCATTTTTTTAAGTACTGAAAGAATTTTTTTAAAGTGTGTATGGGTTCCTCTCCTGTATCTTTAGTACAAAGATTTGTTTTAATTGTTTCAGCACCCGTACTTTCAATTCCAGTCAACAAATATTTATTATCCTCTATATACACATCGTGCTAAACTTATTTTTAGTTCAACATTCTAGCAGTGAACCCTTATTTTTTACTTAACGTTATTTTACAAAATAAATACAGCAGTTATTTTAATTTTAATAAATGCAAAGGGCTTTATAAATTTTTTCTTGGTGCACTAAATGATTTTTGGCCCATACCCAGCAAGTCTGATGAATGTATAATGAGATAACATTTTGAAAACAGGCCTGAAGCATTAAGTATTTATTGAGCTATCGTATGCTTAGAATTGTGCTGCTTCTACTTTTTTCTGTGTCCTGCTTTTTTTTTTTTGTATAATTAAATGTGGGTTTCCTGTAAAAAAAAAAAAAAAAAAAATGGCAGAGATGCAGAGTTTATAAGCAGTCCAAAAAAATCAAACCAGCTGGGTATGGTGGCGCACGCCTGTAATCCCAGCACTGGGGAGGCTGAGGCAGGAGGATCATTGCAAGTTCGAGATCAGCCTGGGCTACAAAGTGAGCTCAAGGCCAGCCTGAACTGCATAGGGAGACCCTGTCTTAAAAACACCAAAAAAAAAAAAAAGCAGTCCAGTCACTTTGTGATTATCCTGAAGATTATAAAAGCAGAAATAGAATAAATTAGCGGAAGGCTGGTGAGAGGGATGTTAAGCTACTGTTTTCTTCTTGGGTTGTGACACGAGCTGACAAAAGGCAGGAATTCATAGCTGGGTGGTGGCATTCAGTGCCTTCTGTTCGGAAAACAACCAGGCCCAGCAGGGCGTCCCGATGGCTAGGCTAGGCCTCTCTCGGCCAGCTGAACCGAAGCTCTGTGGCCTGGCCTCCTGGCTCTGAATGCCTGGGCTCTTCGTCATTTCATCTGGGTACAGTGTTTTCCTGTCATCTTCGTTCTTCTGAGTTAATCGTGTCTTGCAGAGGTTTTGCTGGAGAAAATAATGCCTTTGGGTGAATTGTTCTGTGCCTTGAGCTCAGCACTCACAGATGTGTCCGTTCTTTCTCCCTTACCACAGCTTTGTAAAAGAACTGCTCTGCTGAGGGTTCTGAGTTACACAGCTGATTCCCTTCGGGTCTGCAGCCACAGAGGGCAGGCCTGAGCAGTGGCACAGGTGTAGTCCCAGCTGCTCAGAGGCTGAGGCAGGAGGACGGCTGGAGCCCGGGAGTTTGAGGCCAGCCTGGGCCACGTGTGAGACCCCCATCTCAAAAACACAAAAGAAGGGGCAGAGGACATTCCTTACTTCCTTTGATACTGTGGCTTATTTCTATCAGGTAGATTTCAGGCACTAGAACGTTATTATTCAAAGTAGGATTTTAAAAATAGAAATTTTAATACGTGTACAAAAAGGCAAGTTTTGACATGCCTGTTCTGTACCAGCACACAAGTGTCCTGTAAGTTATGCAAGGTGCTCTGAGAAGGAGCGTAGAAAAAACCTTTGTTCTGTGCTGCTTAAAGTCTGATTTACTGTTATTTTGTTTTATTTTATTTTTGGTTTTTTTCCGGTACCGGGAATCGCACTCACGACCTTGCGCTTACCAGGCAGGTGCTGTGCCGCTGAGCTAAATCCCCAGCCCAAAGTCTGATTTACTGAACTGATGCTCATTCCCTGGCCTCTGCCACAGCATGGGGTGGTGGGAAAGGCTGGTGGGAAACAGTCCTCATTCATTGATTAGATCAGTGTTATTACTCTGTTATTAGCTTTTGCTGTTGGATACTTTTTTTTTTTAGACAAGGTCTTGCTTACAGTTCAGGCTGGCCTTGAACGCACAGTGATCCTCCTGCCTCAGCCTCCCGAGTGTTGTGATTACAGGTGCAATCACATTGAATCCATTTTAACGTTTAATTTCATTCAGAAGGAAAACCATCAGTTGCTTTTTAAATGCGTTTGGCCTAGTTCATGAAAACGCCCTCCGTTAGAGATTTGTGCCTTGTTTCCCCTCGCGCTTGGGAGAAGAAACCCAGAGGTGTCTAGGTTTCACTTCTGCTGGGCATCCTGTGATATTTAATAGGATTTTACAGATACCTTCCTTACAGTTATACCTCATTCGTTAGTTGCCTCTTTTCTGCTTTCTGTGACTAGCACTCGTTTGGCCTTATGATCTCTTTAGCATCGCCCTTTGTTCTCAGCTACAGCCTTTGCACTCCGCTAACCTGGACTTAAGCTGGGCTGCTGCGGGCCCTCTGTGTAAAGGCCGCCTTCCCCCCGACCCTGGGTTATAATGAACGGTGGTGCGTTGCTGCCATCTACTGGAAAGAGGGGAAACTGCAGTTAGAAAAGGAAGCTGCATTTAAGGGTGGGGTTTTCTAAAGGATTTCTGTTACCCTCTGTAAAGGGAAGAAAATGATGACGCAGCAGTAGTCGTCTTGCAGTATGTCCTTACCTGCAGAAAATACGGTGTGAAGCCTCATATAGTATCCCGCGGCCCCCGGACATCGGCAGGGTCGTGCAGTTTCAAATCTCAAATTGTGTTTTAATGGACAGTACTGGCACTAAATCATAGGGTTGGGCCTCTCATTTTGTCAAGCTCTTAGTTATTTGTTATTTTGTCAGGGGGATTTAACATTTAAAATGTCAGTATATTTACACATCCAATACATGTTTTGAACTTCTAAAAACGTGTGTCTGTGTATATAGTGCCCTAGTAATTTATATTGTATCAGAAATATTTTATAAAATTTCTGGATGTATGGCAGTAGCCAGTATAGGCTGTGTACTCCCCTGGAGATGGTTTACTCTGAAGTGTAACTTTCAATAAACATTATGCCAAGAAAACTAGCCTGCGTGTGCTTAATTCAGCTGTGAGATTCGCCTCCCTTAATGAGAAGTACTTCCGGTGCTGAGAGCCACACCAGAGCTTGCTTTGGGGTCGCTGCTAATGAAACGTGCAAACAACACGGTAGAGCTCAGCCCTGAGCTGAGCTTGTCTCCCCGCTTCACCTTTCTCCCCCGCTTATGTCCTCCCAAACACTGTGTAACCTAGTGCAGGTCTGGGGGTGCCGCTAGGGAGGAGAGCTGGCCGCTCGTGGGGGCCCGGGTGGGCCCCAGCGCTGCAAAGCAGTTTAATATAAAATGAAAACAACACAGTAGTGCAGTGCTGGTTCTGCCTTAGCACACAGTAACTGCGGTGATTCTTCTCCCTCTGTGGGCGTGAGAGTTGCACTCTATCATTTTCTGTTACTAACAGAGGCTCCCATCCCATCTGTGGGATTTGATGCTTTTAAGTCTGTTGTGAAGCTGGAAAGTGTATATTTTTTAAAAATTCTACGGGTGATTTGAGTATACAGCCGTATCTGAGAATCTCCATCAGAAATACTGTGTGGTCCTGTGGGATCCTGGAGGGGGACTGTGTGAAATTTTAGATTTCTGATGAACATTTCTATAAATCGTCACCAGGTGGTACACATGCCACCGTGTTTAAGGGAAAAGTGAGTTCGCGCTGAGAGGTCCCACTGGAGCAGTCGGAGTGAAGTGTTCGGAGCTGAGATTGTTTATGAGAGTCCAAGGTTTGGACACGGAACGTTGGGTTCAGACCCCGTGGAAGGCCAAGTGTAAGCGGTGAGAACAGTCTCGCCGCACAAGTCAGGTGTGGGGCTGAGCAAAAGCTTTTCGTCCCTCCTGGCCTCCTTTAAACCCTGCAACTCATCGAGGCAGCAGCAGCCTTGTGTTTTGGGAAAGGGCCCTGGTTCTAGGGGCCGTGTGCTAACTCGGCCTGGCTCGGTCGCACAGCGCAAAATGGGGCCCAGTGGCAGCCAGGTCTGTCCTGGTCTGACTCCACTCCGTACCTCTCCCTTCGCTGAGGGTGTTCTGTGGGACTCTTCACATTTGATGGACATAGTTCAACTACAAGGGCCAGGAGTCATGAGCTGCTCGCTTGGTTTTAGTTACCAAATGAAAAAAAAGCAGATTCACGATACCCAAGAAGTGGAAGCAGTTTAAGTGTCCAGGGACAGATGAATTGGTTAAGAAAATATGCACAAAGTGGAATATTATTATGAGTATAATAATATGAGTATTTTTACAATATAATAAGAGTATTCTTATAAGAATATTATTATAAGAGCATAATAATACATACCTGTAATCCCAGCATTCTGAGAGGCTGAGGCAGGAAGATCATAAATTCAAGCCCAGCCTGGTCAACTTTGCAGTATCTCAAAATATTTAAATGGGAGTGTAGCAGGGAATGAAGGAAGGCCCAAGCTTCATTCCCCAGTACCAAAAAAAAAAAAGAGGAAGAAAGAAAAAAGAATGGCAGTTGCCATGGGCTGGGAAGAAAATTATTGCTTAATGGGTACTGAGTTTCTGTTTGGGACGATTAAAAAAAACGTTCTCTGCCTGCAGATCAGCCGCGTGACTTCGTGACTTGGGCAAGGGAGGCGGAAATGGGCTGCGCCGCCCGGGGACCCTGGCCCGGGCTTGGCAGGCCTTGTGCACTCCGGCTCACCTGCATAGCCGGCCAGCCCGAAGTGCTGGACAGTCTGAGCGCTGATAATCGGTTTGTGATGCGGCAGCAGGCAGACCCACTCTGAGGTGTGCGAGTTATTTCCGAAAGCACTAGAAGTTCATCCCCGCAATGAATCACGTATGAGTTGCTGCGTTATCTTGATCCAAAATGCTTCCTCCGTGACATTTTGTAGTGATTCAGACTGCCTTCTGATATATGTGCATAAAAACACAAGAGTGCTAATGTGGATTAATGACATCAAAAGATATATTACTTGATGTGCATATAAAAGCAGATTCATTTATCGCGGTGTTAGCCAGCATGCTGCTAACAAGTAAAAACATGTTTTACTTTAAGAGGTAGTTAAGAGATATGTTTACATTCATTTTGGGTTAAATGGAACGTTTGCAAAGTGAAACATTTCCCTAAAATCCTTGTGCTTTAAAACAATGCCTGGCAAGCGCAAGGTCGTGAGTTCGGTTCCTGGTACCGGAGAAAAACCAAAACCAAAAAAAAAAAAAAATAAAAAAAAAATAAAACAATGTCAAGCTTTATTAGAAACTAATATAACAAAACACTTCATACTGTCATTGGATTTGGACAGTGACTTTTAAGCATTTTATCTATAATGCCCACCTCCTGCATGTTTGCAGTTCTTTTCTTTTCCTTTCAGTTTTTTTTTTTTTTTTTTTTTGAAACAGGATCCCGCTATGCTGCCCAGGTTGGCCTTGAACTCCTGGTCTCCAGTGATCCTCCTGTCTCGGCCTCCCAAGTAGCTGTAACCATAAGCACACGGCACCGTGCCTGGGCCAGTACCCATTTTTTCATGGGCAGTACGATAGGATTGAACTCTTCCAAAATAGATTGTAATTATTTAATGAAATGTTGTCTCTAGTTGTAAAACCAAAATGCCCACGAAAAACCGTTATCATAGAGGGAAAAAGAACGTGCAAAACTGGTCTCAGTGACTTGCCGCCGCTCTGAGCCGCTAGCAGAAGTGGGAAGTGCTCCGTGCAGCCTGGCCTC